GGGAGTTGGCGCCTCGCGCTTATCCCTCCGCCGCGGCCGGGACTACATCCTGCCCAAAGGGGCCCCTTGCTCCGGGGCGGGAGCACGAGCCCGGCGCACATGGGCCACGTGACGCCCCACGTGACCCCGGCGGAGCGCGCACTCTCGTGCCGGGGCGCTGGTTGGGGGGCGCTGGTGTGCGCGCGCAGGCGAAGGGCGGGGCCGTCCTCACACCCGCTACCCGCTCGAGGCCCCGGGCTGGGTTCCAGCGCGCAGAAAGGGGCCCCTTGCTCCGGGGCGGGAGCACGAGCCCGGCGCACATGGGCCACGTGACGCCCCACGTGACCCCGGCGGAGCGCGCACTCTCGTGCCGGGGCGCTGGTTGGGGGGCGCTGGTGTGCGCGCGCAGGCGAAGGGCGGGGCCGTCCTCACACCCGCTACCCGCTCGAGGCCCCGGGCTGGGTTCCAGCGCGCAGCACGTGGGGAGCCCAAGTGTGGCTCGTCCCTCACAAGGCGCGAGGGAGGAGGGACAGTCAGGAGTCCTTGCAGGGCCACAAAGATAGGGTGTTATTTCAGAGCCGTAGCGCCTGGCCTGCCCTCCCTCCCTCAGCACTGGGGCCCAAAGCTACGGGCCAGGTCGCAAGGGACGAAAGGCCTCCATTCGTTTCAAAGTGCTGGCACGCTTTCACAAGGCAGCACAGCTTGGTCTGCCCCGCGCACCACGTGGCGGGGGATGCCCGTTTCCCGAAGCCCTCCGACCCCAAGGGAACGACCCGACAAGTTCTTTGAATCATTGAAAATGTAGAAACACTTGCCAGAAGTTACTTGTGCTTCACGAATGTTAGGTCCCGTATTTTTTTAAATGCCTTCGATTTTGCAAATGCTGACGCGGGGCGAGGTGGTTCCTGACTCGTTCAAGGAGGCGTGAGCTTTCGTAGGATGCAGCCAACTTTGTCAGATGCTATGGACGGACTTCTAAAAGACGTGGGGTACTAAATGAAAAGGAATAAAGCCATTTCAATATAAAGGACAGGGAAGGAGAGGAAGAGAGGAAGCTTTGCACAAAGAGTTGTTATGTTCATGTTGAGATAGGTAGGTAGTAAATACTACAAACTTTATCTTGGTTAAGACTTTTTTTTTTTTTTAGATATTAGCAGTTACTCTGTCAATGACTGCAAATCATTCCAGAATTTAAACTTGCATTTTCACAGTAAATTCACTTTAGTGAACATAAGAAATAGTAAGTCATTAAAAGTATTTCCTTTATAACTGAACGAAAACACACAGGACTTATTTGTACCAACAAATTTGTTCATGCTGTTTACTGCCGTCGGGCTTCTAGAAAGGTGAGGTTGAGTTGGTCTCAATCACGTGCAACCTGGCAAAGCTTTTGCAACTTTTAAACAAAGTAAAACAGTGTTTTGACTTTTACATAACTTTAGTTTGCTTTGCAAGAGTATGTGTTTTTATAGTGCACTATAAGGAAATATGATGAACAGTATTTATGATAAATGTAGATCAATCAAGATCAGTTAGATGCTAAACAGGTAACTGGGGCCGGGGGCTGGACTCGATCTTCCAAGGTCCTTTCTAGCCATAATGTCTATGAAATCTATGAAACTTCACGTCCACTTAAGTTAATTTGATATCTGTATGTAAAAAGAAAAACAGATCTACAGAAGCTTTATGACCTTTACATTTTCCCTCTTTTTTTTTTTTCTCTTACTTTTATACTTGATCCCATTTTGGCTATTACTTGCTGATATTGCAATACAACAGATGCTATTATTTTCCTAACTTGGCTCTAGCTGGTTAAAATTTTGGTTCTCCTTTTACAGCCAATTACAATCTTAGTAGTGGTTTGCTGTCTGCAACACATTTAATACAGTATTACTATTCACACAGTCTTTCCCCTCACCCCCAAAAGAAAAAAACAACAACTTTACATTAGATTGGCTATCAGAGAGGACTGTGGTAGAAGAATAACCTCTATGGCAGCTACCTGTTCTGAGCAGATGCTCCTAAGTAATGGTGATGATTTACATTGAACAGAAAAATACCTAACTGAAGAAAATGAATAGTAGTTACAGATAAATGCAATTGAAGTCACCAAGCATTAATTTAGATTTGAGACAATCCTCGGGGTATTTGGGTGCATTTAGAAACTGGAGGGCTGAGAGGGATGTATCAGTAAACTAATTACGTTATGTGCCATTACGCTTAGGAACTATGTAGGGAGATTATTACATGTAACATATAAATGGCTATTCTTTTATTTGTCAGTTGAAGTCATTCCTTAAAGTATAATAGTAACACTTCTCTTTCCAGGAATTTTGAATGGTATTCCTACCACATGGAAAAAAAAATGAAGAAAAAAATCTGTGAGAGTATCAAAGAAAGTATGAGAGCACCAAAAGAGGAAAGCTTTGTAAATTCTGATTTTCAGAAACTTTCTTAGAATCAGCATTAGTAATTATTTATGTAGCACTGCCAATGGATACAGCTTTTATAGCAAGTAAAATGCATAATAAAAACATGAAAAAAACGGAAAGTTCCTGGACCACAGAGCTTGCAGTCTGAAGGCACGTTTGTTTCAGAAAAGCATACAGGGAGAGCTGTGTGAACTGAAGAGGAGCAAGATTCATGAAACAAAGGAGGAAGCAATGGAAAGCAGAGGTAAGATTTTACAAATGCTTTAAAGGAAGCTGTTCCTCATATTAATGGTAATATGAAAATGCAAGTGTGTATGAAGGAAAGAGT